CTGCTGATCTAGCAGTAGCCTGCAGTGCTGCATTTAACCACTGCGCCACCTTGGCTCTAAAGCATGAAGACATGGTTTTGCCAGCAGAGCAGAGACCCCAGGGAACTATAGAGCCCACCAAGTGGTTGGTCCAATTGTTGTTGCCAGGGGTATTCATCATGCTTTGTCAACCATGAAAGACAGGGAAAGGCTTTTGACTATACAGGTAGTCCTCACTTATGACTTCTTGTTCAGCAACCATTCGAAGTCACAACAGTGCTCAACAAGAAGACTTATGGCTGGTCCTTGAAGTTGTGGCTGTTGCAGTGTCCCCACAGTCACAGCATCATGATTGGGGCACTTGGCAACTGGCACACGGTTACAATGGTCACACCTTCCCACAGTCACATCATCACCCCTTGTGATCTTCACGGCCAGCTTCCAATAAGTCAAGTCAATGAGGAGAACAGCCACCACCTGATGTTGTGCTTAATGACTACACAGGATTCCTTAATAACCACAACCTGAACTGCCATTGTACATTGAATATCACATTTAATTTCGTTGTACAAGGTGCAATGACAATAAAGTAAAGTAAACTAGACTAACATATTTTTAATCTTAGCTTAGGAATGTGATCAATGATTCTATGATGCCATTGAACTGGGGGAGGCCAAATTTTCCTATTTGTTTAGAAACACTGGATACTTTTAAAGGGCAACTCCCTTTTAGTTTTTGAATCCCTCCAAAGTAGGGAAAATTGCCCTTATTCAAGAATTTCACTGAGGCCTAAAGAGTGAAACGAGAGTTCTGAACCTATGCAACTTTTCTTAAATCCAGGGGTGAAATTCAAGAGCTTCTGGAGAACTGGTAGCAAAAATTTTGAGTAGTTCAAAGAACCGGCGAATACCACCTCTGACTAGCCCCAGAGCAGGGTGGGAATGGAGATTTTGCAGTATCCTTCCCCTGCCACGCCCACACAACCGGTAGTAAATTTTGAATTTCACCACTGATTAAATCTCCCAAACAAGCACATGTTGGACTTTCATGGACCACAGAAGGATGATGTGGAGGCCTCCAGAATAAGCCAACTCAATTTTGATGAGAAGTCAAATAAAGCAAGCTTTTCCAAAATGTCCAGAAGTGGTCATACTCTCCAAACCATGCTATGCTATGGGGACATTCCTACCTTGGTGGTGGCTGTTGCCAGGGAGCCAGGCAAGACAGGAGTGTTGGTGACTTGCACATTCAGGTAGTTGTTGTCAATGAGCGGCCAGGCCCCTTGGATTTTGCACGTCTGGAAGCTGTCCGAAAACGTCCGCAGGTGGGGGTCTCCAAACAGCCCACAGTGGGTGTAGTTGGGGCGCAAGGAGTGTTTGTGGAAGCTACGTTCATAGTGGCAGCTCTCAGGGCTGTCTGAGCGCTCCTGGCTGTCACCCCGAGGCAGCGGGGGGAGGCGAGGCTGGGAGGTGGGACCATCTTTGGAGCAGTTGTGTTGGGTCATGAGATCGTCGATGCCGTGGACCGCAGAGTGGTAGAAGAGGTCTCCCCGGCAGGTGCGAGCTGTGTGGTGGGTGCAGAGGGCATAGGCGCGCAGGGCAGTGCAGAACTCAGGAGCATCCTCAGCGGCCGGGGGCTGTGTCCCCGAGGTTGCGGCCAAAAATTCAGAGTTGCACTTCATGATCTTGCATGGAGACATGGCTAAGAGAAAGAGAGAGAAGAACACACCTGTTGGAAGTGTCCAGTGAGGCTTTCTAACCTGTCTATACAGGTAGTCATCAACTTACAGCAGTTCCAATAAAGGAGAATATTTGTAGCTCAGGATTGAAGTAAGAGGTCTCCGAACTTGTTTGTTTTCTTGTAGATGTTTCATTAGCCTAACTAGGTAACATCATCAGTGCTACGTTACCTAGTTAGGGTAGTGAAATGTCTGCAAGAAAACAAGCAAGCTCAGAGAGCACCAAGGACCCCATAGTTGTCCTCCCCCTCCTCTGCCTTCCTCTCCTCTTCCTCCTCCTCTCTGTACACCTGATCCCCTTCTAACTCTAATGATGTTACCTAGTTGGGTTATGAAATGTCTTCAAGAAAACAAGCAAGCTCAGAGAGCACCATAGTCTTCCTCCCCCTCCTCTTCCTCCCCCTTCCTCCTCTTCCTCTCTGCACACCTGATTCCCTTCTAGCACTGATGAAGTTACCTAGTTAGTTTGGATAGTAAAATGTCTACAAGAAAATGAGCAAGCTCAGAGAACACAAGGAGCCCATAGTCATCGTCCTCCTCTCCCCCTCTCCCTCTTCCTTCTCCATCTCCTCTTCCTCCTCTCTGCACAACCCATTCTCTTCTAGCATTGATTATGTTACCTAATTTGGGTAATGAGATGTCTACAAGAAAAGAAGCAAGCTCAGAGAGCACAAGGGCCTTATAGTCATCAAAGCACAGCCAGCCGAACAAATAGGTTTAAAAATAGTTTTTATCCTTGGGCTGTCAAACTCTTAAACACAACCATCATCACCCCACGCACACACGGAAACGCATGACTACTTTTTCTTTCTTTTTTCCTAATTACTTGCATAGGGATTATTCTTTATACTATTTATATTGTTTGCATTTGTTGTCATGGATTGCACCCGTGAGACTAAAACCAATTTCATACATATACATAAGGTACAATGACAATGTTAGTATAAAGATAGTATACTATAAAGAGAAAAACTGGAAAGTCACTAAAAGTGGTTGAGTTTGCAAGGGAACGCTGAGAAAGACATTATCCTAAAATTCCTGACTTGACTCTTCTTTCTTCAATCCAATTTCAAACCTTTCTTGTCAGACTACAACCTGTGTACCACGAGATTGGCTGAGCCTCCCTTCGTGCGCCCCCCAACACAACACAACTCACAGTGAAAGACAGAAAATCCCTAGCCCAGTAAAACCAATAACAAACCAGTGGTGGGATTGAATTTTTTTTACCACTGGTTCTGTGGGCATGGCTTGGTGGGCGTGGCAGGGGAAAGATACTACAAAATCCCCATCCCTCCCCGCCAGAGGTGGATTGCTCCCCGTTCGGCCCGGATCAACCGAAGTGGTAGTGGTGAGAGTTGGAGGCTCCGCCCACTCACCCAGATGCGTCTGTGCATGCGCAGAAGCATTGCGCATGAGCACGAGTGAACTGGTAGCGCTGGGGTTTGAAACCCACTTCTGCTTCCCATCCCACTAAACTACTTTCCAGCTCCATTCTCCTGTTCTGGGCAACAAAAGAAGATCAACTGGGAGGATGCGAGGCAGCAGGGGCGGGGCCAGCCTATTTGCTGGTTCTCCAAACTACTCAAAATTTCTGCTGGTCAGAACTGGCTGAATACCACCTCTGTAACAAACACCCAGTCCTATTGCACCATGTGAACTTATTGCACATTGTGCCTGTCCTGCAAGTCAATCATACCATGTTGTTGTAGAGTTATTTTCAATTCAGGAGTCCGACAGCCCATGGATAAAAACTGTTCTTCAGCCTGTTTGTGCGGTACCCTATGCTTCTATATCTCCTTCCCGATGGTAGGAGAATAAAGAAGGGCCAACCAGGGTGTGAGTCATCCCTGACAATTTTCCTCACTCTTCTAAGGCAGCAAGCCATAGCGATGTCCCCTAGTGGTATCAGGGGACAACCCACGATGTTTTGTGCTGTGCTCACCAACCTCTGTAACAGTGGAGGGATTCAAATAAGTTAACAACCGGTTCTCTGCCCTAATGATTTATTCCAACAACCAGTTCACCAAACGGCTCAGAAAGTTAACAACCGGTTCTCTCGAAGTGGTGCGAACCGGCTGAATCTCACCACTGTAATGTCTTTCTATCTGCAGCTGTCCAGCCGGCATACCACACCGTAATGTAATGAGGGAGGACGCTTTCTATTGTGGACCGGGAAAAGGAGATCATCAGTTACTTTACTTCATTGTCATTGTACATAAATACACAGTATACACATACAATGAAAGTCACATAACTCCCAGAAAACAGGCCCAACACACATAACAATCCCCAAACACCCTCCCACTCACCCACCCAAAAAATTCCCCGCCCCTAAACCACCCAAGCATCTACACAACAGACCAAGTAGTGCTGTCCAATAGCTCACTGATGGTGGCCCTTTAGTTCATTGTTGAGTGCCATTATAGCGCTGGGATAAAAGCTATTCAGAAGATGTGTGGTCCTAGTTTTAACAGTTGTTGTTCCACTTTGTTTTTTCGCAAGATCCTAAGGAAGTGGAGTTCGTGAGCTTGCAAGTTTGATTAAAAATAAAAGTAAACCCACTTCTCTTTTCAAACAGAGGCAGGGGAGATGGGAGGGAAAAATTGGGAAGAGACTAGGAGAGGCTGCGCGAAGCCCATAGGAGGGCGGTATCGCTCTACGGATTTTACAGATTCCAACTGAAGGAATGAATGTATCCTACGCTTTGCCGTTTCACTCATCTCTCCATATAAGGCCAAATTTTCCAAAGGCAGGTGTCACGCGTAAACTCAGCAAGCATACGAGGGAGCATGCCTCGGTTCTATGTGAGTGGGAAAGAGATCAAAACAGAAGGGCAACCAAGTCTTTTTCTCAATGTTGCAGACAGTGAAGCCCTCGGGAGCCCAGGTTGCATCAGACTCAACAACGTCTCTTTCCCTGGTTTTCTGATCTGCTGCGTGTGAAATGGTGTTGGATCTACTACAAGTCTCAGGATCCCCAGATAGGAAATCGGGTGTGGCCTTACCAGACCATAGCTAGAAACCTTTTCAGGTTGCCAAAAAAGATGATTTCTTGGAAGCCAAGAAGTTTTTTTCTATTGTTCTCCTGCAACAACTAATCATCTGGAGCTGCATTGTTCTTTAATGACCTTAATAATGCCTGATAAACTCCCTTCTCGCTTTACTGGCTGATCTTCTGCTAAAGCTACCCAACTTAACAGAAAGACAGCATTGGAAGGGACTTTGGAGGTCTTCTAATCCAACCTGTTCAAGCAAGAGATCCTATACCAGGGATGTCAAACTCAAGGCCTAGGGCAGTGGTTCCCAAACTTGGCAACTTTAAGACTTGTGGACTTCAACTCCCAGAATTCTCCAGCTAGCTCTTCTGGCTGGAGAACTCTGGGAGTTGAAGTCCACAAGTCTTAAAGTTGCCAAGTTTGGGAACCACTGGCCTAGGGGGACATATCTGCCCCCCCC